AAAATCATCAATGCTTTCACGATCAGTCGTCCCATTGTTCATTGTTGCATCTAAATCAATTTCTAAACAATCTCCCACTTCGCAACTATAAAAAAGGGGACGATTAGTAACATTAATAGATTTATAAAAGCCATCTTTGTGCCTAATGTAATCATCAAAATAGAATTTAATGCCATTTGGATGAAAATAAACTTTTGTAATTATAAACTTTTTTCAATTTGCCATATGTTTTTGTTATATTTTTTTTATTTTTACAACCACTAAAAAGCAATTAAGTTTATTACAAACAAGCAGTAGTGATTGATTTTATTATCCTACTTACTTGTTTCTTTCTTTTTGACCATAGGCATTTACTTTTATTAATTTTTAAGTTTTACAATTTAGAAAAGGTTTTTCCTTTCTAATTTGGCATCCATCATTTTTATATATAGATAATGAGTGATTCTTCTCTCTTTTTGTCTTCATTTTACGATTACAAAAAAATTACTACATTATCTATATTATATATTTACAACTCTTTTATAGATATTAGCATTTACATATGCAATGTCGTAAGTCAGTCGTATAATAAAAAGAAATACAACAAAGAAAAGAAAAAAATATCTAAATCCTTTTGATTTTTAGTAATATCTCTTTTTTTTGATAAAATTAGATTAAAAAGTAGGGATTAATTTTGAATTGAGTGGTAAGATATTCTGACATTAATTCTGAAAAACGCTATAATTAGAAAAAATAATATTAAATGACGATTATTGACCGATTAAATGCTAAAAAAACAGAGTTAGAAGAAAGATTAGAAAGACAATATCATGGAGGAAGCCAAGGAAAAGAAATACTACAATACAAAATTGAAAAACTAGAAGAGTTGATTGCTGCTTACAGTTCAGTTTCCTCATCAATATCTCTGGCAGACGCTAAGCAAATTCTTGACCAACAAGTAGGATTCGAAGAGCAAAAAAAAGAACTCTTAGAAAGTTTGGAGATTGCTGAATTCTGAGAACCGAAAGGTATCAAAAAAAGTCCTTTAATTTTGTGTCTTGTTGGACCAGTCGGAACTGGAAAGACTAGTTTCTCTCAAATAATCTCCCAAGCCCTAGGAAAAAAAATTTTTACAGTATCATTAGGCGGAATATCTGACTCTTCCATCCTTATCGGAAGCGAGGCAAACTCGCCAGCAAATAATATGGGTCAGTTAGCCAGAGCATTAGCGGAAACAAAAACTTCTGACCCCGTAATTTTATTGGACGAAATCGACAAAACTAGCTCTGCCTTGAAAAATTGCCTCGTAAACGTTTTAGACCCGATACAAAATCAGGCAATTTTGGACCATTTTTTAGAAGTTAAGTTAGACTTTTCCCAAATAACTTTCATAATTACGGCCAATGACTTGAAAAAAATTTCTGACTCTTTGGACGACCGGATGCTGGTTATCAAACTGCCTGGCTATACTGACGATAAAAAAAGTGAAATCGCTAACAAAATTATCCAAAAATGATTTGCTGAAAATGGAAAACTTGACCAAAAGAATTTTGAAATTACTTCCGATGCTTTGGAAACTTTAACTAAAAAATCCACTGGAAAAGGTGTCAGAAACTTAAAAAAGGGACTTGATAAAATTTTTAATTACTGCCTTTTACAGTGAGCCAGAGAAATAAAACAAGGAAAAGTTGAAAGCAAAATTACCATTACTCCTGAGTTGGTAGACGAAATCATTCCTACTGCTTTTCATGATACCGACCAAGAAAATTCTGAAAGTGAAACCGAGTTGGAAAAGATTAAAAAAGTTTTAATAAGGCTAAAAGGAGAAAATAAAAACTTGGCAGACACTTTTTCAAAATGCCAAAACAAATTAGTAAAAATTAAGCAAAAAAATAAAGATTTAGAGGCACAGGTTAAAAGTTTAGAAAGAAACTTTCCAAAAAATAGTTCTAATCAACCAATCAGTTATAGCTGATGAATA